TCATTAACATGTTTTATTTATAAACGCACAATTCAAAAAAGTGTAGCAATAAAATTACAAGCGAGTGTATTTTAATTTTTAAATCGATGACGCAAATTGTTTTAATAAGTTACCCAGTAGGCGATATAAGCGTTTTATTGCATTAGCATTGCCCACGGCTTAGCCCGCGTTCTCAAATTCTTAGGTTTTACATATTAGTATACTCTTACATTGCAGTTGTATTATTATTGTATTTTTTCTCAGAAATAAGATATTTTTCCCGGGGTAAAAAGTATCCTATATGTTGACCCGGATAACCAGCTATCATCATACCAAATTTCATCAAAATCCCTCCAGTGGTTTTTCCGTGATGCGGTAACACACAGACAGACAGACAGACAAAAATTCTAAAAAGTATAGATTCGGCCTCTGTATCAATAATAATGTCTATTATCGATACAGAGGCCGAATCTAGCCTAAACTGCCTCGGTGGTGTAGTGGCTAGCATGTACGACTGCACACTCGGAGGTCCTGGGTTCGAGTCCCGGGTCGGGAAAAGTTTAGTTATTGAGTCTTTCTGTATAGTAAGTCTCAGTAACAGCCCGGAATTGGGAAGTTGGCGGTGTTTCACTCGCGGTAACTCTCACTGGTCGTGTCGAGCAGTCGTCCCACCGGAGTATGAGAGTGACAGGAATAGAGAGTGCACTTGTATCTGCGCGCACACTTGTGCACTATAATATCTCCTGCGCAGTTGGCTAGTCTCAATGAGATTAGCCGCCGTGGCCGGAATCGGCTAAGACAACATCATCAATGTGTACAGATTTGGCTTAGTTAGAATTTTATTATACGTATAGATAGATTAAAAATATTTAAGCCATATAAATTGTCTCTGAAATATAATGCAACACAAATCAGGACCTTACAGGTTCCGTGTTGCTATAGTTTCGAAGTGAATACTCACATTGCTTATACAAAATATCTACCTTTCGATCGGAATAAGACGGTATTTAATATTACGTGTGTATATGTAGGTATATAATTTTACCAGAGAAAGTCAAACACAGAAAAAGCAATTTACATTTTTAGTGTGTATATATATACGTGTAACAAAACGGAGAAATTCTGTAATTCCACTCATTTAAAGCGAAACGATACCTTGATGTATCATATATATTTACTAGAGTAGAACGAAAGGCAAAGTGTTCCAATATACTAACAGTTTTTAAGATACCTATAATGAAATTATCCGCTTGTTCAGACAGAAACATGGATATTACTACACTATAAAATAAAACACTACTGGGCAAACCATATTAAAATTTTGTGGGATCAAATGGCAACTATTCCGCATCAAACTAAAGAAGAATCACCAAAATCGGATCATAAATCTCAGCGTAATCGATGTACATACATAAAAAAATACCAATCGAACTGAGAACATCCTCCTTTTTGAAGTCGGTTAAAGATAGTGACTGATTTGTTAATAAACCTGCGAAGATAAATATTATATTTATGCGCTATTAAACTACTCAAGCTTATCGGGTGCTGCATAAGTTCGAGTGCATCCCGAGCGAAACGAGGGTAAATCGCTAGCCTATTCTAATATTATAAAGAAAAAAATGCTTGTTTGTTTGTATCGAATAGGCTCCGAAACTACTGAACCGATTTAGATGAAATTTGATAAGAAGATAATTTTAGACCCTGGAAGGATAGAATAGTTTTTATATGGGGAGGCAACCTATGGACGAACCCGAGCGAAGCGAAGGTGAGTCGCTAGTTATAAATAAAAGAAAATTATGTTGGTAATTTGGGTCTGTATCATAAAAATAATTATTAATTTTATTTAATAATATTTAAGTGCATGATTAAACACAATGATTATGACACTCGTAGATAATAACACTCTAACCAGTCATCATGTCAGTCAGTCATCAGGATAGCTTTAAGTTTTAGCTTAATTATAAGTAAGTAGTGTCTGTCCTACTTTTTAGTAACAATTGTTAGAATTGTATCCATCTTCTGTTATAAAAACTCACCCTTAAACATGCAATATTACTACATTTATTTGTTTAACATTCTTCGTTTTGTACTGCGTAGATAAAGAAACGTTTTATTTCACAATATCATTTATGTGTAACAATTGACCTATTATAAGAAGGAAAGATTATTATTTTCATTATACTTTAAGCTATTTCATAACTATAAATATTGAACTTCTCATTTAAGTGTCGTCCTTATAGTTACCTATATTAGTAATTCCTTGACATTAATTAGAAACAGGTAAATATTTATACTTCAAGTTAGCACTCGCATTAATGGAACGATCATCAAAGAAAAATTATAGCTAAACTAGCATTGCCCGCGGCTCCGCCCGCGTTTAATTGGCCAAAAACCAAATTCTTAGGTTGTACATATTAGTATACTCTTACATTGCAGTTTTTGTATTTTTTCTCAGAAATTAGATATTTTCCCGCGTTAAAAAGGATCCTATATCCCGGATAACCAGCTATTACCATACTAAATTTCATCAAAATCTGTCCAGTGGTTTTTCCGTGATGCGGTAACAGATAGATAGACACGAATTCTAAAAACTATAGATTCGGCCTTTGTATCGATAATAATGTTTATTTAAATAAGATTTTCCAAAAAATGTTTAATGTACAGATACGGCTTAGTTACAATTTTATTATATGTATAGAAGTAAAATATCTTTTGTGAGATGTGTCATTTCTTATTAAAAATTCGTTAAAATTCGTTTTTTATTGTACTATTTTGTATGGGGATGTTTTTAGGTGCAAAGATAAATGACGATGGACCAAATAATTTTTAGCTTAATGCATAATTCATAATTTGATACAACTAAGTAGAGTAACTTATAGTTAGAGTAGAGTATTTTTAATAGTGTATATAATATATATTTATACGTATGTATTTAATATATATGTATTTTTGTATGTTTATGTGTATATCTGTTTTGATATATTTATTTATGTATGTATATATGTAATATTAATTGTACCGTCCTGCTTCCGGTTTCATTAATCCTTTCACCAGAGGTAGTCTGTAAGAGATTGCTCATAACAATAAGACCGCCTTTGCATGCCTTTTGCTATCTTTCTTTTTCTTTTCATTTTATGTATTATCTTTGTGTGTGCAATGAAGTATTTATAAATAAAAAATAATATGTAAAATTTGTATACAACATTCAAAAGGTTTATTTATCTTTTTACCATTCAAATTTGAAATAACCTATATAAAAATAATAAATACTGTAACCACGTATTCAATGATACTAATGTTCGACCAGTGGACAAAGTTCGACCATAATCATTTTTTTATTGATAACCCTAAAGCTTGCTACTTGCTAGTAATGGCTACTGAATAAAAAAATAATAATATGTAAAATTGACGGTTCAAAAGTACTTGCAAAAGTAATTTTGAATGAAGTATATTTTAATTTGATTTTCTTTAAAAAAAAAAGAAAGAAAATCGGTTGTCAAACGAAAAGAAATGGGGCTGAACTGTTTTGTCCTTTCTTATTTATCTATAGATTTTTAAGTCACATGTACAACAATTAAGGGAATAAACTTAAAGTAATTGTTTTCAATTGTCTTTAATTGAATTGCGTCCATTTGCCCAATTGAAGCTGTTATTTGTAATGTATATAGTACACTCCCAATTTACCTAGCAATGATAAAACTGAAATAATAAATTGAGAAGAAATAATATTTTAGAGCTAGTTTGATGAAATATACTAGGTGTAAGTAATTTTTAAAATCGAGCAAAATGATCGAGAATGTATGATGAGATCAAAAGAGAGATTCAAAGATCTTGGTGCACAGCAGTGCAGTGCAGCAAAAAAGGGCACGGCAGTACCATCTTTTTCCATAGAAGCGATTCAGGGCATTTTCCAATTTCCTTTTCGTAACTTCGTTATGGATAAAGCTAGAAACTTGAATTTTCACTAATAGGACATAATATAACTAGATAGGTATATTACATTCAATTTGAACCTATAGCTTAAGAACTATACCTACTCATCGATCATCAAAATTCTAAGCTACTTGTAGCAGATATACGAGCTTCAAATTTTGAACACATAGTTGTGTTCAAAATTGGACTGTGTTTAGTCTATAACACAAGGAAAAACTCAAACAGCCAATTTCAGTCCCCTTTTCGAGATATATAACAAACTGCATAAGTAACTTTGTAATCTTATACAAATAGATGCGATATATGCGATTACAAAGTTACTCGGTGCCAGCCGATGCAAAACAAATCTAATATATTTCGATACGTAAAATACATATTTACCTATAAGATATTCATATCTTAAAATATTGTAGGCTGGCACCGACTTCGAAAATATCTGATTAGGTATTTATTCTAAATGAAAACCTCCGTTTAGTTATTTTTTACATTTTAGTGCCTGGAAATCGGTTCTTATTTTTTAAAAAGTTTTAATTTTTCCATTTTTAGTGTAGACGTAATAAGCAGGTAATTTGTAAGAAGCAATTTTTTAAATAACATATTCGATTAAAGAACTTATTAAAAAATATATTTGTTGTTAATTTTTAAAAAACCGCTCGATCGATTTCAATAAAATTTATATCGGACCACCTAGGAAGTATACCCTTTGAAACAAAAAAATATTTCTAAATAGGTTCAGGCGTCTTCGAGTAATAGGTGAACATACATAAAAAAAAGATTCCGACGAATCGAGAACCTCCTTTTTTTTAAATCAGTTAAAAAAGCAATAAACTTAGTTGTTTATTGTGTTACTTCAATTCATTGTTGTTTTAAATAACTACATGTATTGCCTTTAGTTAGGTCTATTTAAATTGTAAACAGGTTTGAATGTTCATTATTAAAACTTCGAGTAAAATGTATGTAGATATTAAGGAGACAGTACAATTAAGTTATGATTAATAAATTAATATTTAATCAATTTTACTAAAATTAACCTTTGAATGTTGTAAAATGTAAGCCGATAGATAAAATTTTAAATTATGAACACTTACCAAGTCGAAATTTGTTGACGGAGATAGAGGATACGGAGCACGTTACATTTTTAAATTCCAAGCGAACTGTTGTCCTCGGCATTAAGGGCATCACATTGTTGTTACTCAGCGGGTCACACTGATCTTCCTTTACACCTGGCGTCATTGTTATAATAAATCAACTAAAGTTATTTGAAAATTTCCAAGAGAATCACCTATGTATTATCAATCGAGCACTGATGTTCATGTCTTTAAATGTTATTTATAAATAATTATCACAGTAACAACTTTTCACTAAATAGCTTGTTGCAAGAAATTCTTAATGTGTGTTGACTAGTTTAGAGATTTTTCTTGAACACCACAGACTGCTCAGGTCCGTTCAATCAACACGTATTTAACTCATGGGCCATGGATCTATCTGTAAACAAAGAATATTGTAAACATGTAGCCGCTATCAGTTTCTAATTTGTGATTATTTAAAACGTTTTAGTTGGTTCATTGAAGTCCCTGTTTCTTGTATTTTAATTAAGTTTTGCTCAATATACGAGTAGCTAGTTACCTCATCAAATAATCATTAAATTATTGTCATTAAAACATATAAACTCAGAAATGATCAATTAAATGCACAGTTTTAATTCGCTTTTATTTATATATATATATATATATATATATATGTATATAATGTACATCGTGTTTGTCTGTAGAATCGATCGTCGTAGCTCGAGAGATGCTTGGTCGGCCAGTATAATAGGCATTCTCTATATTGTTATCTATAGAGCACTGAATGTTACCAGTTAGCAACATATCGTTGATATGCAGAATGAATGGTGTATGCATAGTCCTAATACAACGATATAAGTACAGATTTAAATTGAACTTACACTAATATAATTAGGAGGTAAAGTTTATAAGTTTGTATGTATAGGGTAATCTCTAAAACTAGTGATCTGATTCTGACAAACGTATTTTATCTACATTATCTATACATATAATAAAATTGTAACTAAGCCGAATCTGTACATTAAATATTTTTTGAAAAATCTTATTGAAATAAACATTATTATCGATAAAGAGGCAGAATCTATAGTTTTTAGAATTTTTGTCTGTTTGTCTGTCTGTCTGTATGTAACCGCATCACAGAAAAACCACTGGAGGGATTTTGATGAAATTTAGTGCGGTGATAGCTGGTTATCCGGGTCAACATATAGGATACTTTTTACCACGGGAAAATATCTCATTTGTGAGAAAAAATACAAAAACTGCAACGTAAGAGTATACTAATATGTAAAACCTTAGAATTTGGTTTTTGGTCATCTGAATGCGGGCGGAGCCACGGGCAATGCTAGTTATAGATAAAAATGCGTTTACTGTCAGGCATCATAACAACTCTAGTTGAAGCCGGAAAAAATGGCTGTTGATTTACTTTATCGGCTATTAGGCACCTAGCGATGCACCCAAGCGAAGCAAGGATAAGTCACTAGTCTTGCATTAATTATTATGAACTCTTCTACAAAATTGATTAAACTTGTTGAATTAACACAAAAATAATTATATCTCGCTATAATAAAGATAACATTATTTACGAGTATAATTTTTGGCTGAGTTTAATATTATAGCTTGATAATGTCACCGAGAACTAGGTTAGAGTTTTATCATCGTCTTCATACTAACTCGCGTTGCGTGATCACGTTTCGTTTGACGATTACTAGCATGACATATACAGAACCATTTACTTTTTTAGAAATTATATAATTTTAGGAAGTAACACAAATTGAAAGCCACTTTCTATGGCACGGCGATGACTTGCTAACAAAACCGCAATTGTTCCAAATTTTTTGTAAAATATTTTTGAGTGTTAGGTACTTTAAAATTTAAGAATTGCACTTGAGTGTATATTTCTCAATTCTTAAATTTTAAAGTTAAGTTAAGTAAGTTTATATATATATATATATATACGTCAAGTGTATCGAAATAGGTAGTAGATGATATGGTGTTTTTTATCCTGCGAAAGGAAAAGGTTTTTACAGTCTATAGCATAGATATGTTTATTTTAACAGTGCTTTTTCTTACTAGACAATTTTTTTCAAGGTAACACGTGCGTCGCCGCGGGCAAGACGTAGTGTTTCATAAATTACTTAATTTTACACTATTATAGGTTAAAGTGGGTTTGTATTTGATAAAAAAAAATTGATTTTTTTAACTAATAATTATACTTTCACTAATTTTACATCATACTTTCTTAGGTTTACGTGAATATTTAACATTTTAAATAAAACTATCTTTTCGGAATTTTTCGCGATTTTACTTTAATTTTTGATTCCCGACGTTTCGAATGCTTTACAGCAATCATGGTCACGGGAGAGACTAAGGTTTTAGACGTCTCAAAGGTCATTTTTGCGAGATTTCAAAAATGCCACCAAAGTACTTTACAATATTTGTTGATTTTAATTCCAAACATTTTTTTAAATAAGTATTATAATTAGATATGGCAATATTATTTATTTAATTTTTAACATTTTGTTTATTGTTTATCTACACTGGTAAATCTCGCGACAATCTTTTATATCATATAAATTGTGTAATATAATAAATTAATGACTTTGATTTAATTTAATGCTTATTTTCCTCTATTAAGAGCATTTAAATAAAACTTTGTTTGAAAATAGCGAGACTCTATGTAGCGATGTTTTCACTTATGTTAGTATGTAATTTTTGGTACATTATTTTTGGTACGTATTACTTATAATTAAATGAACTTTGTAATATATACAAAAAATATTGACATATTTTAAATACCATAGATGATCAAGGTAAGCCATCGGTTATTCTATTGTTATAGCTCTATTAAGCCTTGAAGTACAGTTTTTACTATATCTCTTAGATAAGGTACAAAATTACTTACAAACGGTTAAACAATGTACCTACCTTACTTACTTTCACTAAATTATGCATATCTTTCTTGCTATGTGTTAGTACTGAGCTAATGATCTATAAATACTTTGTCATTTTTTGTTATTTTATAAAGCAGATATTTTCTAAATGAAATTTTTTGATCCATAATCGTGATACTTATATTCAAATAAAAATATACAGTTAGATATAATTCTAAATTCATAAATATTAATCATTTGAATAATTTCAAAGCACTCACAATATACTATTAGTTTTTACACAGCTATTACATTCTTTCGTAATTGTACTTACATTTTATAAATAACAAAATAAACAAATTAGATCCGTTAAAAATTAACTTCAATTAGTACATTTTTCAACGCGTTAACGTTAATGTACTGATATTTGAAACGTTAACAAAACAAACAATTTATACTAGATGCTAATTTGTTGATAAATAAAGACCCAATTAATTTTCAATTTTTAAACTTGCATTTGGATATGTAAAATAATTGAGTACATATAGTATAGAGGCTAAAATATTATGTAAACAGTCTTAATATATCGTCAAAATATTTCGTATGTCAAAAATAGAAAGCAATAAATCCATTTCTACAATTCAGGCGAGAGTGCAAAATTCTAAGAATCATAATAAAATATTAGAAAGATAATACTATGGTAATATTATATAAACATTACGAACTTAGATCTCATTGCGGCGATTTTATCCGGGTTGATAACTTTCACGAACGTTTACACGCGCGAGAGCGAGCGAAGAAATTGACAAATTGAGCACTACACGTCCGTTTCATATGCCGACGTGAATGGGACTGTTGGCAGCTGGTTGCTTTACAACGAAGTATTGATCCCAACGGTATCAATGATTAGTCATACTTTTACTTCGTCTATTTTCAGTGGTGTAGCCATATTTACTGAAATTGAACAAAACAAACACCAAAAAGTTTTAGAAACAAACTCATTTTAAGTATTAAATTAGCTTAATTATTATATGTCTCGTCTTTGTAAATTTTTACTGTTTTGCTTCTGATTTTTATTATTTCGTGGGAAATATTTTCAGTTCTTCTTGAATAATAAATACTTATCAGTACCATTGTTCCATAGTTGAATAATAATAAATACGTTATAGAATGGTTTTTATTTCGTAATTAAATTTGAATTTACCAGGATAATTTCTACAAAATTAATTATTAACTGACATACCGGTGTGCCTGCGATTCTCAACAGATTAAATAAAAAAGTTCGTTTAGTTATTAAAAAAATCAAACTTAATTACTTTATATAATAAATTAGCCATATTATTTTAAAACTTACATTTTGTAAGTAAAGGGTTTTATTTAAAAGGAAAATAAATAAATATAAATTTAATAATTTAAATAAATAAGCAGTACAACAAGTAAAAAAAACATTTGGACTTTCAAGTCCAAATTCAAGTCAATATTGCTGTTACAATAAATAAATAAATAAAAAGCAATATCTCATTCTTGGAGTATTATCATTATTTCCGGGGTGTCTTAATTTAAACTTAATAGCTTTTGGACATGATATATAAAGAAGGATAGGTTGTTTTTTTCCTATGAGTACACAAAACTATTTAAAAATGATAGGTAGGTACCATAGATGTGAAATTTAAAAACGACTGTGGACTGCCAATACCCAAATTTAAAACGGCCATTTTAAATGAAACTGTCTTTCGGAATTTCGTCGTGGATTTATTTTATCTACAACTCATCCTCGCTTCGCTCGGGTTCGTCCGGTTTAGATAGTATGAATCAGGTAGTTGATCCCTTGTTCTGTAAAAAATAAAAACAAATCTGTCCCACGGGAACCGTACATTTTCCGTGACAAAAAATAATCTATGTGCTATTCTAAACTATAATTTATCTTTGTGCCAAATTTCATTCAGATCCGTTCAGCCGTGGTGTTATTAGGTAACAAACATCCATCCACCATCCATCCATCCACAAAATTACTTGAAACTTGGTATTAATGCTCTTCAATAAAATTAATTAAATACGTGTTTTAGCATTGTTTGTATGAAACTACCTTTTAAGAGATTTTTTTGTAGTTTTAGCTCGAGCGAAGCGTAGCTTCTGCTAGTATGATATAAAAGCTTGGTTTTAAAAATATTTTGTCAATATTAATTTATTATTATTCTCTAATAAGAAATACCACAGGAGAATACATGTAGACATAACACTAAATACAATTTATTACAATGTCAAGTCGTAAATACGATGATATGAATGTTAACAA